CGTAAGAGAAATCGGGGGAACTTACCTTTTGCTCGGTTGCTGGCCGCAAAGCTGCTTTAGCATTTGCGCATTTCCTTTCCGGGTGCACCTGCTTTTTGCATGGTTGCTGTAGATGAAACCTGTCTCAACCTTTCAACAAAGAACAGTTGTTAGTTCGAAACGATGGTTGGTTTTGTGGCCTTGATTATTTCCGTTGCTCGATCCTGATCCCGTTTCCATCGAGGACACTGCTGCTGATCGGCTTCGAGGGCAGCTTTCTTTCGACCTAGCTAAGTTCGGATCCGGGTTCCCATGCTGAACCGCCCGTGCGGGCTCAGTTTTCTTACTTTATTCCTCTTTCGAAACCTTTCCCTTTGATTTCTTTTCCTTTCCGAATGCCTTTTCCTTGGTAAGCAATCGATCGTCACGATCAATCGGGATCAAAATGGCGCACCGTTGAGGCCGGGTACTTTATTTCACTTTGGTCGGCAGAGCCTTGTGAAACCGGTCCTGCCACCTTTATTTTGATAGTTTCGGAGTTCAGAGTTAAACCGAAAGGGATTCAAAGAAAAATGCAAAAGAGTAGCAGAAAGAATCAAAAAATAGAAGCGTCCCTTTCGGAGAAAAAGAAGGACTTATCTGGGGTTGCATGCGGGCTTCAAACTGACATGACATGCATCTTGGACTGGATGTCCGATCCTCACACACTTGCATTTTTCTTATGAACCAAACGGGTCTACGCCTCGAAAGGGAAACTTTGCCAGGACCTGTAGCGGTGAGAGCTCTCTTTTCGGTCGATAACGCCCTTTGTGGGTTTTCGCTAATCGGCCTCTCTCTTTTCTCTTCTCGTCGTCGTCCGATAGTGCTCTTTGTGAGTTTTCACTAAACAGACTCTCTCATTCTTGGTTTCTCTACTCCCGTCGCCTTATGGTGCCCGAAGGTTTTCACCAATAAGACTCTCTCGTTTCATTTCTCTCAATTCGAAAGAATCAGCTTTCCGCGACAATGTTGTTTTTTTAGTTTCCATGCCTTGGGTCGATCTGAAGGACTCGTGCTTGGTTTTGGATGAGAAGATTGCGGACAAAATACAACTTTGGAATCATTTGGTGACTCTCGGTCACTTTGTCCCCAGTTTCAGTTTCGGGGAAATGGGATTTTTGTTTTGGTGTGACTGAACCTCAAATAGAGGCTGCCTACGTATCCTTTCGTAATCAAGTCAGAACGTAGTTCGAAACAATTTTTTTTTGGTTTTGGTTTTTTTGGTTTTTGGATTCCAAAGAGGGTGGCGAAAGAAAGGTAATCGGCTCAAAGGGTTTACAAAGGTTTGATAGTGTTTGGGTAGTGGGAATGAAGGCCTTCATCATCTCGACGCGCAAGGGCACCATCGAAGCACACTTAGACGTACTATCTCTTGACGGCATCTGCGTTCACAGCTGTTTCAGGATCAATTCCTTCCATGTCTCCCAGGTACAATGCTCCTCTCGGCAATATTTTCCGGATAATGTATGGACCCTTCCAGTTAGGAGCAAATTTTCCTTTCGCCTCTTGGTGATGTGGAAGAATGCGCCTTAACACCAACTGACCTACTTCAAAATTCCTGGGTCGCACTTTCTTGTTGTAAGCACGGGCCATCCTTTGTTGGTACAACTGCCCGTGACAGACTGCAGCCATCCTCTTTTCATCAATCAATGTCAATTGTTCTAGTCGAGTCTTAACCCACTCGCTATCTTCTATTTCTGCTTCAACGATCGTCTGAAGTGAAGGGATTTCTACCTCCGCCGGTATCACAACTTCAGTCCCATAAACTAGCAAATATGGGGTTGCTCCTACTGATGTGCGTACCGTAGTACGATATCCCAATAAAGCAAAAGGTAGCTGTTCATGCCACTGTCTAGAACTCTAGATTGTCTTCCTCAGAATCTTCTTGATGTTCTTGTTTGCTGCTTCCACGGCGCCATTGGCTTTGGGCCGATAAGGAGTGGAATTCCTATGAGTTATTTTGAATTGTTCGCATATTTCATCCATCAGACGACTATTCAGGTTTGCAGCATTGTCTGTAATGATAGTTGCAGGAATACCAAAACGACAAATAAGATTTGAGTGTACAAAATCCACCACAGCTTTCTTGGTGACTGATTTGAGGGTGACAGCTTCAACCCATTTCGTGAAGTAATCAATGGCGACCAGTATGAATCTGTGCCCATTTGAAGCTTTTGGCTCGATCGGACCAATGACATCCATACCCTAGACGACGAACGGCCACGGTGCTGACATAGGATGCAGTTCAGTTGGCGGTGCATGAATCAGATCTCCATGCACCTAACACTGGTGGCATTTTGGACGAAACCGAAGCAGTCTTTCTCCATACTTATCCAGTAATATCCTGCTCGAAGGATTTTCTTGGCTAAGACATACCCGTTCATGTGAGGTCCACACACTCCTGCGTGTACTTCATGCATGATTCTCCCTGCTTCTTCGGCGTCAACACATCTTAAGAGGTTAAGATCCGGGATTCTTTTGTATAAGACCTCGCCACTTAAAAAGAAACCACTTGCATGCCGCCTGATGGTCCTCTTTTGATCTCCAGTAGCATTTTCAGGGTATTCTTGTGTCTTCAAGAATCTCTTAATATGGTGGTACCATGGTTGGAAGTTTGGTCCGGCCTCGATTACGTTGCAGTAACCGTGCCTCTCCCTGACTTGGATTTCCAAGGGATCGATGTGGGCATTGTCGGGATAAGGTAACATTGAGGCTAAGGTGGCAAGTGCGTCAGCTAGCTCATTGTGACACCGCGGGATGTACTTGAACTCTATTGATTTGAACCGCTTGCCGAGATCCTCCACGTGCTGCCGGTAAGGGATGAGCTTGACGTCTCGAGTTTCCCATTCACCCTGGAGTTGCCGAATAATCAGATCCGCATCTCCCATGATCAACAAGTCCTTAACACCTTGATCGATTGCCATATTCATGCCAAGAATGCAAGCTTCATATTCAGCTGTATTGTTCATGTAGAAGAAACGAACTCTCGCTGTAGCCGGGTAGTGTTGGCCAGTAGGGGAGATCAGGATTGCCCCAATACCTACACCTTTGGCGTTTATGGCCCCATAAAAGAACATCTTCCAAATATGAGCGTCTTCTGAGACGACCTCTATTGCGTTTACCTCTTCGTCCGGGATATAGGTATTCAGCGGTTGGTATTCCTCGTCAACCGGGTTTTCAGCCAAGTGATCTGCTAACGCCTGAGCTTTCATTGTCGTGCGAGTCACATAGACTATGTCAAATTCGGTAAGCAAGATTTGCCATTTTGCTAACCTCCCGGTAGGTATCGGCTTCTGGAATATGTACTTCAGAGGATCCAACCTGGTTATGAGATAGGTAGTATGAGCTTGAAGATAGTGTCTCAGCTTCTGGGCTACCCATGTCAAGGCACATCATGTTCTCTCCAGCAAGGTGTATTTGACCTCATAGTCGGTGAACTTCTTGCTCAAGTAGTAGATTGCTTGTTCTTTCTTTCCGGTGATGTCATGCTGTCCGAGGACACAACCGAAAGAACCTTCCAAAACCGTCAGATACAAGAACAGAGGCCTTCCCGGCTCCGGTGGGACCAAAACTGGAGGATTTGACAGATACTCCTTGATTTTGTCAAAATCTTCCTGACACTCAGTTGTCCATTTGATCGCTGCATCTTTCTTCAGTAGCTTGAATATGGGCTCACATGTGCTGGTTAGTTGAGCAATGAATCGACTGATGTAATTCAATCTACCCAACAAACTCATTACATCTTTCTTCGTCCTTGGGGGAGGTAGATCTCGGATGGTTTTTATCTTTGTGGGATCCAACTCGATACCTCTTCTGCTCACTATGAAACCCAAAAGCTTGTCCCATGGGACTCCGAAGGCGCATTTGGCCGGATTCAGCTTTAAGTTGTATTTCCTCAACCTTTCGAAATTTCCTCAAGTCCCTAACATGATCACCTTGCGTTTTGGACTTGACTATCACGTCATCCACGTACACCTCTATTTCTCGATGCATCATGTCATGAAAAATGGCCGTCATGGCTCTCATGCAAGTCGCCCCGGCGTTCTTCACACCAAATGGCATGACCCGATAACAGTAGGTGCCCCACGGTGTGGTGAAGGCGGTTTTCTCAGCATCCTCTTCGTTCATCAACACCTGGTGGTATCCCGCATAGCAATCCACAAAAGACCGTATCTCGTGTTTGTCACAATTGTCAACGAGAATGTGGATGTTGGGTAGAGGAAAATTGTCCTTAGGGCTTGCCCTGTTCAGATCTCGGTAGTCCACGCACACACGTATTTTTCCGTCCTTCTTGGGCACGGGGACTACATTGGCTAACCACGTGGTGTACTGGACCACCCGGATCACCCCAGTATTCCACTGCTTTGTGATCTCCTCCTTGATCTTATCACTGACATCAGTTTTGAATTTTCTCTGCTTTTGTTGAACAGGAGGGCATTCAGGGTTGATTGGCAACTTGTGCAATACTAGATCAGCACTCAGTCCGGGCATGTCGTCGTATGACCAAGCAAACATGTCTTTGAATTCAAACAGGAGTGGAATGATTTCATCACGTGTTTTCTGGCTGGCGTGAATGCTTATCTTGGTTTCCCGAACTTCTTCTGAGGTCCCCAAATTAACCGGTTCTGTATCGTTTAAGTTTGGCTTAGGTTTATTTTCAAAATGTTCCAGTTCTTGATTTATTTCCCTAAAAGCCTCTTCTTCATCATATTCCGGTTCTTGGTTCATTATTTCAGCATTAGAAAGTGCGTTCGGATCTGGGCGTGCAGTCCTTGGGCATGTCATGTTATTTAAAGCCGCATTCTTAGGACTGAAAAGAAGAAATAAAGCAAAGAAAGAGAAAAGGAAGATGACATTTCATTTCTTGAACAAACAGAGTTTTACATTGGGAACTTGGAAAGAAAGACAAGAAACTAAAACAAGAAAACACCCGAGTCGACCCCGAACAACTCGTGGTGTGGAAAAGCGGTGGCAGGACAAGTCTACCGGAGCTCCCGCCTGGTCGGGAATGGCGTGGCCTTCCAGTTTTGTAGCTTAGCATTTGGTCCCACATACTGCACCTCAGCGGTGCTGGTACCTTCTCCCGATTGAACCATATGGACGTCATAAAGCATCTGCCTCATGGCTCCGCATAGGTCCTCGATCTCCTCCTCAGTGAAGGCCTCGTCTTCTTCTTCTTCGTCATACTTTGGCCTGACGAAGGTCTAGTAGAGGTGTGGTAGCGGCTGTGGAAGGACCCAGCCGTTGCTTTTTCTCTCGTCGGCCCAAACCTCGTCTTGTGGAGGAGGGTGGAAGCCTAATCCGAAGAACTTCTCGGTGGTGGGCAAAGTTATTGGTACTGGTATTCCTTGTAGGGATTTTCCCAGACCTCTTCCCAGCTGGAAGCCGTGTCTGAGCATCTCTTTTGCCACCATGATCGAGGCATTAAAAAGGAAAGGTTGTGGACAAGGACTTCCCTCTTCATATTGATCGGCCATCACAATATCGAAGGCCTGATAGACGATATGCTCGCTCCCTTCTCTTGCCGCTAGACACGGGATAGACGGATCTTTGTAGATGGCATGTTCGTCTTCCCCGTGGACCACGATCTCCTGATCTTCATGCTCAAACTTTACCATTTGGTGGAGGGTGGATGGCACTGCCCCAGCAGCATGGAACCAAGGTCTTCCTAGGAGAAAGTTGTAGGAAGTGTCCATGTCCAGTACCTGAAAGGTCACCTCGAATTCCACAGGGCCTATACCCAATGTCAGATCTATCTCTCCGAGCGTTTCTCTCTTGATCCCGTCAAAAGCCCTAACACATACATTATTGGGGCGGATTTTTGACGTTTGAATCTCCATCTTCTGGAGTGTAGAGAGTGGACAGATGTCAACCCCCGAGCCTCCGTCTACCATGACTCTCTTCACGTAGTACCCTTCACATTTGACGATCAGATGTAGGGCTTTGTTATGAGCTGCTCCCTCGGGAGGCAAATCAGCCTTGCTGAAAGAGATTTGGTTGACCCCGAAGAACCTTTCTGCCATGCGCTCGAGTTGCTCGACTGAAGTTCCTGCCGGCACATATGCTTCATTCAGTGTTTTCATCAGGACCTTCTGATGTTCGGCCGACTTCGTTAACAGGGACAACATGGACACCTGTTCAGGGTTTTCGCGCAACTGATCCACCACTTCACAGTCTGGCATGCTTAATTCGCGGAAAAAGGCCTCCGCTTCTTCAATAGTTACAGGTACCTTGAGTGGGAAACGTTTCCGGGCAGCATCGCTCACTTCCCGTATGTCGGAGTACTTCCTGACGGGGGCATTTATTGGCGATTCACCTGTAATCTCCTTGCCCTTATAGGTCACCACTGACCGGTTGTAGTTCCACGGTACGACGGTGGGGTCTGTCATAGGCTTCTGTGGCACGCGTCCGATAAACACCGGCTCATCCAGCCACGGTAGTTTTATCGTCCCCCGAGCCACAAAGGCTTCTTTTGGCGCACTCATTGGATTTGATCCTTTTATTTTGAATTTCTTTAGAGCGCTCAGTACCAGAGGCATTTCTGGTCGACCTCGTGGGAGGTAAAGAACTCCCCTTTTTCGAGGTGCTATCATTTTTGTCGTTCCCGGATCGGCTTCGGCAGTCTCCTTCTTTGCTTCAACCTTATTCTTGATAGTCTCATCCTCTTTCCCCTTCTTCTCTTGTCTCGGGGCTGCCTGTCTTTCTGTGTCAGCAATGGCGACTATGGCTTTCAGCGCAGGATCAAACTCTCTGTCCTCACAGATCATCCCTATTATCGGCCTGTTGTTGTGAGCCGGTAGAGGGTTGTTTGTCACATTGGGGGTGTCTTCATTAGTGAAGACTACCCTCCCCTGATTGATCAAGTCTTGCACGGCTTTCTTTAAGGTCCAGCAGTTGTCAATGTTGTGCCCTTCTGCTCCTGAGTGATAGGCGCAGTATACGCCTCTTTGATAAGCCGGAGAGTCCGGATTCTGCCTGTTCTGAGGGACAGGCTGCAACAGGTTTTCCTTCCTGAGTTTCGGGAAGAGAGTGGAGTATGGTTCGCCAATGGGCGTGAAGTTTGACCTTGTCTGTTCGCGAGGGCGGAAGTTATTTTGGGGCGGTGGTTGATTGTAGTGGTTCCGGTAGGTGGGCTGATTTCGGGGAGGTGGAGCTTGGTTTTTGTTGGCTTGTTGCGGTGGACGGGCGAAGGGTTGAGCATTCATGACCATGTACGGTTGAGGAGTGTAAGCCGTATCCTGATGGGGGTAGTAGTGTTGTGGGGCCCTTTCTGCAAAATGGGGCTTGGGTTTGTGGTATTCCCTCGCTCCTGATGCGGCCATGGCCGATTCTTCCTTTTTATTTCCCTTCGTTATTCCTCCAGACCCACCTTGGATGGCTTGGGAGGTTGCACGGATGGCCGCTTGGCTCAAGAGTCTACCCGTTTTCAGACCATTCTCCACCATTTCTCCGATTTTGATTACCTCTACAAAAGGCTTTCCCATCGCCGACATCATGTTTTGGTAGTAGTCGAGCTCTTGGGCCTGCAAGAAGACACTGACCATTTCCGCCTCGTCCATCGGAGGTTTGACTCTCGAGGCTTGCTTACGCCATTAAATGGCGTATTCCCTGAAACCTTCTGAGGGTTTCTTCCTCAAATTGGACAGAGCATTCCGGTCGGGTGCAATATCAACATTGTATTGAAATTGCCTGGTAAAGTCCCTAGCGAGATCATCCCAGATATGCCATCGTGAGATGTCCTAGTCGGTGTACCACTCTGAGGCGATGCCGATCAAACTCTCTCCGAAATAAGCCATCAGTAACTCTTCTCGGCCGCCGGCCCCTCTCAATTGATTGCAGTATTTCTTCAAATGACCAACGGGGTCGCCATGCCCTTCATACAACACAAATTTCGGTGTTTTAAAACCTGCTGGCAAGTGGACATGCGGAAATAGACATAGATCCGCATAAGAGACACCTTTTGGCCCGCTCAAACCTCTCATGTCTCTCAGACTTTGCTCGAGGCTTTTTATTCTCTTATCTATCTCGTCCCTTTCAGACATTCTAGGGTCTTGACTTTGCCCAAGTGTAAGCTTATATTTAGGGGGTTGGAGGTGAGCATTGGCAGGAAATCGAGTTGGTTCGAGCGGGGGTGTTGGTGCTTGGAACGTGAAGGAAGATGACTCATAATTAGGCCTAGGTATAGTAGGCTGCGTCACAGTTGGACAAGGCGGGGCAACGTACAGGTTTGTGGCCCTATTCGTTGTCGACATGTGAGGATGGGAGTCAGAAGGTGATGCGTTGTGAGACAGAGTGGCAGGGTGCCCCTGCGGGATGAATGAATACCTTTTAGGAAAGTTGGGGATCTCATCTGCCCTTGGGAGCACCTCAGGGAATCCAGGGATTGTACTTGGCGGTTCCTTCCCGTTATTCCAGGAGTCCAACATTTCCAGTATGTAGGACCGCAACATTCTATTCTCTTCAGCGGCAGCTGATTCGAAGGTCGGGACGGCCAAGATTTCCTTTCCACTTCTTTGTCCTCCCGATGTTTCCATCATGCGCATACGTATGGCTTGACTTTCTTCAGCAGACCTCGATTCGGAGGCCGGAATGATGGAGATTGAACTCTCCTCTGGGAGGGAAGCTGTTGGCGGAGGAATTTCAGTAGACATATCGATGCTTCCTTTGGACCTGGTGAAGTACGTATGAATACCCCCTCTTGGCTTAGCGACGGGTAACTGGGTGCTACCCTTTGACCTTGTAAAGTAGGAATGGGAGGCCAGAATACCACAAAACCAACCACCTTTTCTAAAAACCTGGAACGCAGCCAACAAACGGTGAGTGTGAAACAAATAACAGATAGGTAATTTCACATTGGGTGTGATGCAACTTATACAGTTAAGTGGATTTCTACAAGCTTGCGTGCGTCATCCCGACTTTTCTTTATACCTCTTTCTCTTTTCCTTTATACCCTTTCTTTTTCTTTTTTAGGTTACGGTCGAATCCGACGAAGATTGCCTACGTATCACGGCTCCTGCGTGAATCAGACCAAGCGTAGTTCGTGCAAAGTGTAAAACAACATTTTGGATTTTCAAATTTAATTTCCAAGAAAATAGTGCTTACAATGCCAAAATTTGGAAATGACAACACATATATCATTTGACCAAAAGGAAAACAAAGCTTGTGATTTGACAAAACAGACTCGAAAATACAAAAGTACAGACTCGATCTAAGCATGCTTTAAAGCCCTGAATTGTTGTGCTCGTGGAGCGTTGTTTGTGCTGGCGGCGGGTGGTGGTGCAAGGCCTATGTATAGGTTTATCAATTCTTTCATGACCTGGTAGATGGACTCTGTGACCGATTTAAAAAGGGTCTCGCGAGGCTTCCTTTCGCTTTCCAGGCAACTCACGGTGATGTATCGCCCAATTTCCTCAATTTTGCCTCGGATCCGGTCCCTTTCTTCGAACAGATGCCCTATTCTCTGATTCTTTGCCCTCAAAATCTGAGCGTTGTCGGCGAGATGGTCTTGAAACTTCTCCATTTGTCTTTCCATTCTGGCCATCAAGTCATAGCAGCATTTTCTATCCACCCTTGCTTCTTGGGATTGTTTGGAAATCCGTTCTCGGAGAGTGTGGTTGGTTTCCTTCAACATCTCAACGGTTTCCTCATAACCCCTTTCAACTTGGCGTAGATGCTCTTCCCGTGCCGCTGCGTCTTTTGCCCACCTGTCTCGGGTTCTTGCTAAGCTAGCCTCTTTCTCTCCAATCCATCTTTGCATTCGGTGACCTGCCCTTTCAAACTGGCTATCAGTCGACTATCGGCCGGACTTCTCGTCTGGTTGTAGGAGTCCCTTTTTAATTCTCGGATTCAACTCTTAAGGATGGCGTTCTCTTGGGCCGCTTTCTTTTTCTCTCCCTCGTCGAATGCAGCCTGGACTTCCTTTTCAAACTGAAGATCGGCAACTTGCTGCTTCAACTTGCTTATGGTGGCCCTGTATTCCTCTTCTTTTGCTAACCAGTCCCGATGCCCTTGTGAGGATTCGGCAAAATCCTGAAGGTGAGGTCTTTTAGCTGGTCGTTCTGGCGCTTCTTCCTCAACCCCTTTTCGTTTACTCCGAACTTGATAATCGGAAGAGACTTCACCCCTGGATCGGTCGAGCACTCGAGTGTTTGCCTGCAAGAATTGGCATTCACTCCATATGCGCCGAGCCATCTTTTCATGGGATCAGTTTTCAATGTCGTCCTCAACTTTATAAGCACTGAGGTCTTCATCGGGGTGTTCTACCTGGCATCTCCCCAACTGTCTCAATACCCGATATGGAGCGTAAGGCTGGATGCTTCGGAGCCCCATCAAAAGGAAGTAGGGACCTGTGGCGGGCATATATAGAACTTCTTCAACTAGTAACCAACCCAATGTCCACCCTATTCGTGCAGCAGTGATAGCGCAGAGATGAGATACCCAATTCTGAGACCCTGCCGGCAAATCAGTCTCCGAGACCCTATCATCATATTCTTTGATACAACTTTCCTCTGTTGACATGTAGCTCAGACGTTGAGGTTGTTGATGCAGGTGCTCGATCATCCACATCTGCGGTAACAAATTGCAACCCTCGAAGAAGTCGGCCCCGGCTTTACAAGCTGTGAGGGCTTGGTAGATTTCGGACAATATCATTGGGGCAAGTGTGCTTTTGTTTTTGGTCAATAGCACATTGACTACCCCGGCTACTTTCAAATCGATGTTCTTGTCCTTCCTAGGAAACACCACTATACCCAGGAATGCCACCATAAACGCGAAGCGCCTATGTTCTTGCCACTTCGTCAAGTTCCCTTTGCTACAAACTCCACTTTCTGGATCTTCGAATCCTGTTATGTGCCCATATCTCCATTATATGAACTTTAAGGTGGAGAAGCCTATATCTAGCTCGGAATAAGGGACCCCTTACTTATTTTCAACAGGTCCATGAATTTATGAGATGTGACAGCCCTTGGAGCAATCAGATATTTGTGTCTCATCCCTTCGGTGAGACCCATGTACCCTGCAATTTCCTCTAAGGTCGGAGTGAGTTCAAAATCCGAGAACTGGAACACATTATGAGTCGGGTCCCAGAACGTGACCAAGGCCTTTATGATGTCGCCTCTGGGTCTGATACTGAACAAATCCACGAGATCTCCCAAGTGTAGCCGGATTTTATCCTGCTCTGATTTTTCAAAATCTCCCCACCACAAACGCAATTCCAACGGGATCTTGCTTCTGACTTTTAATGGAAAACTTGACCCTATATCTATTCTGCACATTTGTTGAGACGGCTTTAAGCAACACACATTTTACACACTTTACTGGACTCTAAGCAAAACACACTTTGACCAAGGATGGCCGTTCACGCAAAGTTAGCCTTCCGGCGTTGCTTTCGGAAACATTCGGCTTATACTTGACAAACGGTTTTGCTTGACGAATTTAAAAAATCTTTTTCAAAAATAGGATCCGCCATTGCTGTTACGGCCTTCGAGAGCCTCGAGGACGAGGAATCAAGGCTGTGTGGGCTATTTCGGTCAAAAATCCAGAAAATGACCAAACTGGTCGTTTTGCGCAAAGTCAGCCTTCCGGCATTCCTTTCGGAAACATTCGGCTACACTTTCCAAAACGGTTTCGCCCGACTCTTTTGAAAATTTTCTTTTTGGCTGTTTTTGCAAAAGAGGAGTTGGACCCAATGGGGGTTGCCTACGTATCCCACACCCTATGAGAATCAAACTGGCGTAGCTCGGGCAAGAAGGACTAAATTTATAAAACAAGTATTTTTCTTTCTCTTTTTTTTTTTTTGAATTTTGACAGAATGTCGACACTATTTTTTGAAAAGATTAGCGGTTATCTTTAAACTGCTGAAAATGTTCCCTTTTTCTTTTAAGCCGGTCAGCACGCAAATTCGAACAAATGAATGCATAAATCAAACAGGATGCAGCAGGATGGTCTTTTCTGTTTCAGGTTGCTATTCCTAGACGGGCCCAACCCCTGTGTTGAACCCCCTAAGTCAAATGCAACGTGATGCAAATAAGAGTTTCCTACTAGGGATCCGGCATGAAGATATGTCATACTAGGTTTAAAACCTGGGTTTTGTTCTAGACCCGGCTTACCCGAGCGGACAACTCGGGACGAGGATGGGAACTGCGTCTTGGTAACCAAAAGGCTAGCCAATTTTGCAATTCCACCGAATCCTCGTTCTAAATTGGGATTTATGACACTAACAGAAAGAAGTCACGACCAGCGCGCACTCCTCGGGAGGAAGAAGAGAAGGGTTTCGGCACAATTTATATATAGTTCAAACAATATCAAAGCGGTAAGCAATTAGCATATTAAGCATGATCCTGTAGGAAAATCAGATATAGCAAAATACAATAATTCATCTAAGCTCGAATTCTGAACCCTGAACAAAACGTTCTGGGTTCTTTTCCCCAGCAGAGTTGCAAGCGCTGTCACACCTCCTTTTTGCGCGCACTCACCCCGAGGGATAAATGCGCAAGGGAGTTTTCCAATTTAAGTGACAATGTTCGAAATGGGATTATTTAATTAA